TCTTCTTTATCCAGTGCTAATGTAACAGAAATACCACAAGCGAATGGCTTTAGCAAACAAAAGTTTATCTTCTCAAAGTTTGTTGTAAAAAGAGCAAGGGTCTCTTGGAGAAGGCCATATCTGACCTTTATCAACTTCACAAAGGGGCACTGCCCCCACCAACAGCATCAGGAACACAAAACCAATTCCCAGAAGGTCAGACATCTCCACCACACTCCCATATCTCTTCTATTCAAAACTTATCTTATTGCTTTGTTGTTATATGCCATCGAGTCACCTGCAACTCATACCAACCCTATGTTCAAGAGCTCTGAACCCTACCCTGTCCTGAGCCCGTCTCAATCTAACATTCCTAATCCAATTATCTGAGTCACATCTGTGGAAGGAATCATTGGAGAAGTTCAATATCAGCTGTGAAAAGTAAGCCAGGTGCTAACTGTGGAACAGACCATCACCTACCTATGTGCAAGTTTAAATTAAAGCTAAAGAAGGTCAAATCCTTTCCACAGGAATCAAAATTTCATCTTGAACAGGATTGAGACCTTAAACACTAGTGAACAAAAGCCAGATGAGCTGTGTAAAGATATCAAGAATATCTTATTGCTTTACTGGGTCCATAATCCAATGTGATAGCTCACAGATTACAAAGAACCATATTGAGGAAGTCAAAGGTCATAATCCAGGTAAGTAGTAGAATACAGTCAGTATAGCTTCCGAAATATGCTCACAGGCACCTCAGGCTTGAGCTGCATGGCTTTAAGCCAGTGGTGCAAAGTTCTCAGTCCTGCAAACTATGCCCCCTCCCATCGCCAGCTGTCCAGCAAACTTGAGCAAACGCTCCTAAGTTCCAGTTCCAATAGTGTAGCAGTCCCAAGGTCCCATCTCACGTCAGGTCTCTGGTTCAGCTATGACTGTTGCTGCTGCTGCTGCTGCTGCTGAAGCAAGAATTTCTGGGCTGGAAGAATGTGTCACATTCTCTTGCTGCTGCTACTTCTTCACTGGTGGTGAAGGTCTCATTCGCCTGTTGCTGATTGCTCAGTTTAATGGTGAGACTAGCCAATCCCCTGTGGATTGGTAGATAGACAATCCCCCTGGATTAACGTGCGCCATTTGCATATTCCCACCCATCTACACGGCAAAGTAAAAACAATGGCTAGGAAAGTCATATTGAAAGATAAACTCAGGGGAGCTCTGGTGGCCTAGTGGCAAGAAGCTGCACTGCAATCCCAGAGGAACTCGGTTCAAATCCACCAGATGCTCTGCCGGAGAAGGAGGCACACGCACACAAAATAATAAAAAAGAAAAAAAAAAAAGGAAAGATAAACTCAGTAGTTGTTGTTATGTACCCTTGAGTTGGAATGACTCATAGCTGCCCCTCTAGTGGGTTTTCAGAGGCTGTAAATCACAGGGCCGAATGCAGAGTGATGACTGTAGGGGAAGGTTTTCCGTCTGTGTCAGTTCTGACTTTGACTTCGGCTTTGACTTTTCTGCTTCCTGGTTCCTTGGCAATCTCCATGTGTGTGGCAGCCATCTCTCATCTGTGGCTCACCTCATACTTGTTTAATCTCTTTGATATCTCAAAGATATCTCAAAGGGATTGATGCAAAATACACCCTAAAGGAAGCCCACTTAATTAACACAACAAGGACAGCTCCTTCCCAAATGGACTTATAACCACAGGCATAGAAATTACAATTTTCAACACATGTTTTGGGGGCGTATAGTTTACTCTCTAGGGAGCTCTGGTGGCCTAGCGGCTAAGGAGTTGCTCAGTCAACACAAAGACAGGTGGTTCAAATATACCAGCTGTTCAGGAGCCTCTGAAACTTGCTAGATGGTCAGCTATGAGTTGATTCTGATTCTCGATAACAATGAGGTATTTTTAGTTTCTTCAGTACATGACAGTCCTCCATGGGAGGGCCACCCACGACCCAATATGCCTTGGGCCACCCCCTCTCTGCTCAGCTGTCAGGTGGGTCCACCTACTGTCTCCTTTCTGCCACTAATAAATCCCTAAAAACACCCAGAGTGAACCTGAGGTGAGGGCTGCTTTTCTTGCCTCCATCCTATCAGGGATATCGTGAGAAAAAGATAGACACACAAATACAGAGAAGCACAAGGAGAAAGAGCAAGAAGCACCCACAGGCACCAACAGAGACAGGGGATATGGGGAGAAGAAAGAACCACAAAGAGTGCCATAGACTTGGCAAACCCTCTTTTAAGGCCCCACTTAACCCCAGTGGCCTGACCGGGGCCACTAGAAATCCAGCTGATCCCTTTGTGCAAATTAAAGAAAGTTCCCTGCTTCAGGTGGACAGCCAGGGAAGTGCAGCTTTGTGGGCTGAGCCTGGCAGACCGGTTTCAGACCCTCTGGCCTGCATAGCTATTCCCAGTGGTCCACCCCTGTTGTCTGCACCTTCAGGAGGGAATGATAGTTCTAAAGCACAGCCAGACCTCAGGTCTGACTCACAGACATGTCTGCAGTGTTCCCTTGCCTTCCAGACTTGCCTGGCCTCTGTGATGGCCTTGAGCCCAGGCCCACCCTCTGCTCTCACCCACAGGGCCTTCCTTCCCTCCTTCTCTACCATCAGCTGCAGTCGTGAATACACAGGACACAATCCCCTCCCCCAGGCCTGCCATTTAACTGGTCAGTTCTCTCTACAGGACACGGTCCTCATCTGAATACTTGATTGATCTTTGGGGGTGTTTCAGGCTCCACAGTGGAGCAGGTCATTGAGAAACACAAGCCTTACCTATCCTACCCACCCAGCCTGTCCAGGAGTCCTGTGGGACCAAGAACAGACCCTCCCAGGGACAGGCCTGGGCCACACTCACATACCCCCTCCTGCTATAGTGACAGGACCAGCCTCCCTTCTCCACAATCACATGAACACTCTTCCTCTACATTCACAGGAATTGGGAGTGGACATGACTCTCAGTGACAGAAAGAAAACTGAGCAGCAAAGAGGGAACAGCCTGAGCTCCTAGGTACCAGAGCCAAAGTTTCTGTCCCTTCGCTGCTCAGCTGCCTCTGCCCTTTGGGCTCTGACAGTGAGATGCTCCTGTCCCTGAAATGAGTGACCACAGCCAGAGCTGAGACTGCTTGGAGCACAGGCATGAGCTGCCAGCTGGGGCCCATCCATTGTGGTCTCGCCTTCAGACAGGTAGGTGCAGGAAGTGGCCTACCTAGAGGGCAATAGTGAAGGGCGTGCAGCAGCAAAATGCTGGAGTGCCCATGCCTGGGTCCTGCTGCAGCCTGGGCCTGTTCAGAGGGAGGGGTGTTCTCTCCACGTGGCCCATGAACGGGGTGGAGGTGGGGAGGCGGCGGGACAAGAATGAGTGTTATATCCACGTGAGGGTGAGGGTCTGTAGACCTCCAGTGAGCCCACAGGCTGCCATCCAGGTCCTCTCCCAGTTCACACACAGCAGCCTGCGCTCTTGGAGGAAATGATTAGCAGGGCAGTTAGGGCACAGGTGAGTCATCTGATCACAAGATCACTTCCCGGCTGACTCAGGGGGACAGTCCAGATGGGCCTTTCTGCCAGCCCCCAGCTCAGAGCCTGAGTCAAGGACTCCATCGACTCTGGCCAAGAAGTTGAGGAGAAAACCCTCAGCCCCACCCATGAGCCACTAGACTCTCCCAGCCCTCCCCTGTCTGCCTGCCAAGGATGCTTCCAGCTTCATGGGCTGGAACTAGATCAGCGCCCTTCCCTACCAAGACCAAGCGTATAGCTGTGGGGTCATCTAGACAACAACAGCGATTGCCATCATTCCTAGTAATTCTTTTTTTTTTCTCCTATAATAATATTTTATTAATTTTCATAAACATTTACAGAGATTTTGGGTTTCCATTCATTCATTGTTGCACTATTCTCTCTACCCTCCTCCCAGTTTGTTCTTGTCCAAATGCCACAGTGCTTGTCAAAGCCAGTTCTGATTAATCTTCTTTGTCAGTGTGTCCTTTGCCATTCCCTATCACTCCTCCCTGAGAGAGACTTCACCCTGAGTCATAAGGAAAAGGGGATGGCGTATTCTCTTAGCTACTTCCTGCTGAAAAGGGACGCTGTGGGTTTCAGGGTGAAGATCTTCTCTCACTACTCTAAAGGGCCATTCCTAGTAATTCTTAAGAGTAGCCACTGTGTTCTGATATTGAACTTGGGCTCCCCAGAAAATCCTCAGACTGGACACAACGATGACAGATGTGATGGGATGACCCCATGGGGGACATCAGACAAGCGTCCACAATTGCATTGGCACTGGGGAGAGTTGGGGGCAGTCTGTTTCCATGTGCTCGCCTGGGAGCTGAGAGCTTGCACCCAGGCAGGAGGAGGAACCGGAGCAGAACCTCCTGGAGAACAGCGCCCCCTGGTGTCCACATCAGGACCCCGGCCCCCACACCTCAACTTCTGGATCAACCCAAGCCTGTCCTCCAAGCCAGGCCTTCTGAGTCAGGGGCCTTTAATAGCTAAGGCAGGTCCCCACGGCCCCAGGGCCGCTTTCCTGGCTTTGTCCCTGAACTAGCTGGGCAGGAACTTCCTGACGGAGAATTCCCGGATCCTGCTGCGGAGGCCAAGAGCATGGCCTGGGAACTTGGCGAGGGAGGGGCGAGGTGGGAAGCTCCTCCCGCAAAGTCTGGACTGTGGGCTGTAAGGCATCCCCTGCAGACAAGACTTCCCATCCTCCTGGTTCTGATGCCCAGTGTCCACGTCAGAGCCCAGGGCTCTACAGTCAGGCTCTGGTGCCCCCTGGACACATACCAGGGATTAGACTGAGACCCTGGACAGAGTAGATTTGAATGAGGATAAGGATGAAGGGGGTAAGGTCCAAAAGACAATGAAACCTACAAAGGCAAACTCTGCTTTTATTATCAACATAGAAGGCCTTGTTCAGATAGTCGGGGACAGGATCGTCTCAAGACCGCCTGGCCTTAGGGGCTCCTTGGATGTGCTCTAAGAGGGGACACACCACAGGGCAGGACAGGCTTGGGCTCAGCTCCTGCTTCACTCTGGAGGCCAGTTCCCCATTTCATCCATCTCCTCCAACAGCAGGTGCTAGGGGCAGAAGGGAGTGAAGACAGACACCTTGGAATCTGTGGGCTATTTCCCCACTTTGCTCTGTGCCCCATAACTTTCCCACCTACCCCCCAGGGACAAGGTCCCAGAGTTATCTTTTCTAGATCCTCTCCGTGTGCCCACAGCTGACCCAGCTTCTCCAGTCTGGAGCCACACCCCTCACCTAGTTTATGGATGGGCCCTTCTCTCTTTATCTTATGAGAATTCCTTGGGAGGTGGAGGAAGCAGGTACCTCAGTCAACTTCTCTCTCCCTTCTGTCCTCGACACCAGGCCAAGGAGGATTGGAGCCCTTCCCTCCAGCCTCGCGTGGCATTTCAGCTGCCTCACTGTCCCTCCCCTAGGACCCCAGCATTCCCCAGCTGGGGAGCCACTTCCTAACCTCTGAGCTTGATGTCCCTGAGGGCAGATGAGAATGGGGGAACAGGGTGGTGAGGACAGGACTCATGGGAAAAAGATAGTCCTGAGGCAGCTCTGTCCCCAAAGTGAAGACGAAGCTGGCTTCTCCCTTGCCACAGCCCAGGGACTCCATCCAAGGCGATCCTGTGAGTTACAGAGTAGAAATGCTCCACAGGGCTTTCTTGGCTGTAAACCTTGGTGGCATAGTGGTTAAAGAGCTTAGCTGATAACTATAAGGTTGCTAGATCTAACTCACTAACTATTCCATAGGAGAAAGATGCAGATGTCTGCTCTGGAAAGACTTACAGTCTTGGGCACCCCTTGGGGATCTGCTCTGTTTTCTAGGTCTCTATGAGTCAGAATAGGCTTGACGGTGGTGAGTTTGGTTTGGTTTTGTAGTAATCATTTTGGATGCAGATCACCAGGCTTCCTCAGTGCCACAGGGTGAATCTGAATCACCAACCTGTAGGTTAGTAGCTGATTGCAAACTACTTTGGACACTCGAGGACCTTAGGAACACCCTGGGGCCCCCAACACTGTGAAGGCTGCCCTAGAACTGTGACCACAGGGTTAGGGTCAGGTCCCCATTGCTACAGTCATGGCTACATGCTCTTCAGCTCCTGGATCCCTGCAGGTAAAGACTTGAAGCCCATGTTCAAATCACAGAGCAAGCTGGGCCACAGCAGGGACTTTACCCATATTCAGCCTGGAACTCTATGCTCTTTCCTTTTCAAAACTTCAGTCCACAGACCATCTGGGCAAATATCCTCTGAATGAAATGGAACTGAGTTTAAAAAGGTATGGACATTTGCAACAAGAAAGGTTGTGACAGGTGTAGATCAATAGTAATTAATTCTATAAAACAACGTACATGAATGATTGTATAAAACACAAGGTACATGAATGAAATACAAGGTAATTATACAGAAATTATTATGGTTTTTTATTTATTATTTTTACGTGTGTGTACCGTCAAATCAGATCTGACTGGTACAGGAGGAGATTGTCCCTCCTTTCCCGGTGAAATTATTGTTTAAAACACAAGGTACATATGCAAAACATGATATGTATGAATAACTATATTCAAACTAATAAAAAAAATTGAAAAAGAAAGAAATGAATGTCAAAAGGGGTATGGGCACATTTTTTTCTGACATAGATCAGTCAACAGTCAGAAGTGTAATTTTACACTCAGAGAGTTAACTTGAAGGCTGACATCTGGGAGAGTGGGCAAGTGTATTTTTCTTGAACCCACCCCCATAGCGGAATTCCCCCATGTAAATGGGTGTTTGTGGGTGTGAACGGGCCAGAGAACAGAAAAAAAGTCAATGTTATCAAAATTACAGATGCAGGGAGCTCTGGTGGCCTGGTGGCAAGAAGCTGCACTGTAATCCCAGAGGTACGCGGTTGGAATCCACCAGATGCTCTGCTGGAGAAGGAGGGGCAATTTCCTCCTGTACCAGTCAGATCCGATTTGATGGTACACACACAAAAATAATTAATTTTTTTTTAAATTTACAGATGCACAGGAGAGTGCAAATTCTCTCACAGTAGAGATGAGAAAAAGGAGACTCAGGGGAATGGATTTGCTCGAAGCCAAATGGCAAATTAAAGGCAAAGTTAAGACCTAGAAATGGACGTCCTGACTCTGGGTCAGTGAAAACCAAAAAGTTGAGAGGAAAAAAATGTGTGTGTGCACAAACGTATGTGTGTGCATGTTTGTGAGCACTCGTGTCCGTGTGTGTGCAGAGGACCAGAGTTCTAATCTCAGAAATGCCATCACCAAGGAAGAGTTGTGCCTCCCCAGGCTGGAGGAGCCTGGAGCCAGGGGGCCGAGCTTGAGGCGGTGAGAGGCCGGGTCCCACTATCCCCAGTGGTGAGGCAGGCCAGCGTACCTGACCGTTCACAATGCCTGCCTCCTCCAGGGTGATCTCTGGCTGAGCCAGCAGCTCCCGGCCCTCTTTGCTGCCCATTTTCCAGAGGCGGGACTCCCGCTTCACTGCCAGGAGCCTCTTCAACTCGGACTCCATAAAACCTACAAGCAGGAGAGATGGGCACGTGACAGGACAGAGGTCCCTGGGAGGAAAAGAAGAGGCCTCCTACTTTCTGAATTTCATCCCAGCCAGTGGTGAGCCCATAGGAGTGGTCCTTTCTTTTTCCACAACCCAAAGGCCACCATATATCACTTCCCACCACCCTGCCTTCACTGGTGGCTCACTTTGCCCAGGTTCTCACCTGCAAAACCTATGAGTCTCCTCACCGCCTGGGGGTGGGGAGGGATCAGCAGACATCTGCCCCTTCCCCCACCAGCCAGCAAGTCAAGAGCATAAAACTGCTTGGGTCAATTTTCTGCTCTGACACCAGCTGTGTGACTTTATACAAATTCTTTACTTTCTCTGTATTTCAGCTTCTTCACTGTGAAGTGGAGACAACACTAAAAGAGCTCTAGGTGGCCTAGTGATAAGGAGCGTGCCTGTCAACCCAAAGGTATGCAGGACGAATACACCAGCTGCTCTGCTAGAAAAAGATGGACGATCTCCTCCCTTGCAATTATACTGGCTCTGAAAACCTACTGGAAGATCACCTATGAGTCAGTTCCAACTCAATTGTATATAACAACAACAATTTCATGAGTTGCAGTATGGTATTATCACGTGAAAAGTACTTAAGAATAGAGTCTGATCCTCACCACTGGGCCAATATGCAACATCATGATAAGACAGATAGATAAAAGAATGACGTTGTCAATTATTACATCTTACTTGGATCCACAATCAACATCCTTGGTACCAGCAGTAAAAAAATCAGAAGACGTGTTCACTGGGAAAATTTGCTGTCAAGGACCTCTCCAAAATGCTAAGGAGCAATGATGTTAAAGACGAAGGTTCAGGGAGCTCCGGTGGCCTAGTGGCAAGAAGCTGCACTGCAATCTCAGAGGTACATGGTTCGAATCCACCAGATGCTCTGCTGGAAAAGGAGGGACAATCTCCTCCTGTACCAGTCAGATCAGATTTGACGGTACACACACAAAAATAACAAAATCTAAAAAAAAAGAAGACGAAGGTGCACCTGATTCAAGCCATGGTCTTTTCAATTACTTACTATTTATCTGAAAGTTACATAATGAATAAGGATGAGAGAAAAAGAATTGATGCCTTCGAGTTGTGGTGTTGGAGAAAAGTGCTGAGTATCTCATGCACTACCAAGAGAAGAAACAAGTATATCTTAGAGAAAGTGAGACCAGGGTTCTCCTTAGAGGAGAGGATGATGAGGTTTGTATCACATACTTTGTGCATGCTGTGAGAAGGGACCAGTCCTCAAAAAGGAACATCATGTGTGGAAAGGTGAAGGTCAGCAAAAGAGAGGAAAACCATTAGGGAGGTAGGTTGACACAGTGACTGTAATGATGGGTTTAAGTATATCAGAGATATTGAGGATGGCACAGGGTAGGGCAAGGGTCCGCTCTATGGTTTATAGGGTTGCTATGAGTCATATTCAACAACAAGCCCCTAACAACAATGACAACAAATCTCCGCACAAGCAGACTGCCTCATTTTTCTCCTGAGAGGCAGTTGTGGCGGGCTTGAGTTACCAACCTTTAGGTTAGCACTCCAATACTTAATCCACTGAGGGGTGCTGGGTCTGGTTTATCATTCATTTATTTTCACTGCTGTGGAGTGGCCACAGTAACGGTTACTTAAGTGTCTACACTTTTATAGGAGGTTCTTGTGGCCTCAGGGATCAGGAAATGTGCTGCCAACCCAAAGCAAGTGAGTCTAAAGCACTAGCTGCTTGGTGGGAGAAAGTTGGACGATCTCCTCCCGTGCTATTTACAACCTCTGAAAACCTGCCAGACGGTCAGTTATAAAATGGTTCAAACCTGATGGCACATAACGACATAATAGTTTTTATCACGTTATGTTATTATCATTGTACCAATTTCTCCCATGTGCAGGCTGCTGGGGGGAGGTAGCAAACACCCCATGGGGCACAGTCACTATAATGCATGATGGGGAAGCCACGACTAGAGGTAGCTTCCCAAAGCAGTTAAGAGGAGCTCTCTCATCTAGGGTGAGGAAAAAAAAGTTCTCCAGGAACCCCAGGCTTAATCACAACCCTCCACTTCCCTGCCTCTCAGACTCAGAGATAGGAAGACCCTTCTCATCCAGGCTAGACGTAGCACAGCGCCCACCTACCCACCCCGCCCCCAGCCACTGGGAGGCCCTCTGGGTCAGACATCGTAGGTTCTCTGGCACCACCTGGTGACATGAACCAGTATTGCACTTTTGAGTCTCAGGTGGGGCCGGCTTCCTGGGTCTAGGGGCAGATAGGAAGATGAGGAGGGGGTCTTACCCACTGTATCTGTAGACCTAAAAATCCGCTGTAGTGATGGCTGAAGGGTGACAATGTCTGGGACACAGAGGTTAAATACGTTGTCCTCTTCCTCCACTTCCTCTTCCTCCCTTTTCTCTTTTTCACGGGGCACGCCTTCCTTGAAAGGAAATGGAAAGTTTGTCAGGTTCCTGAGTTGGGGAGGCGGCCCAGACCCTCACACCTGCAGGCTTCTCCTCTAGATTAAACAAGAAGTAGGAGGAAACAGATACCAAAAGGAGACTACTGTCCTGGGGTCCAAACCTACATTCTGATGTTCAGAGGAAAAGAGAAGGGAACCCCTCTGGGCCTCACTCCCACCCTGCTGTCCCAGAGTGGCCTCACAGACCTTGGTCTTGGAGGATTTTTGGAATCGCTTGCACAAGCTAAAGAGATGGTTCCAGGGAGTCACTCTTGCCTTTGAGGAGGCCACCTTGAGGTCTCCTGCAAAGAAATAGTAGTTAGGACCGAAGACATCATGTTTGGGAGTGTGGACAGCACAGGAGAGGAAGCCCTCAGATGAGAGGGATTGACATGGTAATTGGGGCAATGGGATTAAGTGTGTAGGAATCAGTAAGACTGGCTCAGGACACGGCAGGCTTCAGAGCTGTTGTACATGGGGTCGCTATGAGTTGCGGGCAACTTGACGGCACACAACAACTGAAATCTGTAGAAGGCCTCTGATATCTTAGTGATAAGGAACTACACTGAGAATCTAAAGGCACGTGGTTCGTTCGAATCCACCAGAAACATGGTGCAATGTACTGCCTCTGAAAAGCCACCGAGGATCAACTATGAGCTGGTTCTAACTGGACAGTCCATAAACTGTTGGTTGTACAGGTGACCCAGGCCCAGGAAAGGAAGGACCTGGGGAGCCTGGAGATGGGGTTCCCTTGTTTTCCTTAGCAAATACTTACTATATGCCAGGCCCAATTCCACACACTTTACAAGTAACATCTCACTTAATCTGAGAGAGGCACATGACACACTGTATTCCTATTTTATAAATGAAGAAACGGAGACCTAGAGACATTGAGAAACTTGCTGCTATTGTATAGCTTGGCAAAGTGAAGGTGGGCTTCAGGCCTAGGCAGTTTGCCTCCTCAGACTGTGTCTTATGTCCTGCCAGTTGGGCCCCAAACCTTAGAGAGTCCCAGGAAGAGGGTCACACTCACCAACAAAGAGACCCTCCTGCTCCTCCTCCTTGGAGCTGACCTCCATTAGCCCTGCAGCCCTCTGCAGGTGTACTTCTCCCACCTCCAGGCCCTGGGCAAGGTGGCTCCTGATTCCAAAACACAGTCAGGTTGGGAGGGCCCAGAAATATGGCATGGAGTCTCTTAGCCTTCCCTCAAAGCACTCTACCAGGCCTCACTCAGCCTCTTCCATTTTCCCTCCCCCACTAGCCCTCTGCTCTGCCTCCTGTGGTCTTTTATCAAAGCGGGGCTATTTCTTCCCAAAAACCATATGGAGAGGTAGGTCCTCCTTCTTCTCCTCCCTTGTGGGAGGACTCTTGTCCCAACTCCCTGGGACCAATCCCAAGCCTAATCCTTGACCTAACTGCCCTTTTTCATCCCTTTAACCCATCTAAGAACTCACATCCCTGGACCCTCCTCACCTTGGGTCCCCTGTCTTAGGCCCATATTCTCCTATCGTCTTCTTTCTGGTACCTCTAAGCCCCCAACCACCACTATCCACAACCCTAGCTCTTTACCTGCCTGTGACCTCGGTCTGCCTGGAGGCCTGCTCTGTTGCCTCATTCTTCACCTCCCCTTCCTTTTCCTTCTCAGGCAGGCTGTCCTGGCTTCTGCTGGAAAGGACTGACCTCACCTCTTTGTCCTGGGCCAGCACCTGCAGGGTCTGCGTGGAGGCGAGTGTCTGGGTCGACGTGTCCCCCATCCCCAGATATGAAAGGTCTTTCTGGGACCCCTTGGGAGCAGCCACTCCGAGGGTGCCAGGCAGCATGGAGGGCACTTTGGGCTCCTTCCTCTCCATTTGGCCCTGGTGACCCGTCCTCAGGGCAACAGCACCCTGCTCTTTTGAGGAACATGCCCGACCTCTTGCCAGTCCCTTGTCAGTGCGTTTCGAGTGGCTCTTTTTCCTCACCAGGCGACGGAAAAATCGGAACATGGACGAACGGCCCAAAATTTGGGATCGGTGGGTTGAAGCTGGGGCCTCCATTCTGAGAGAAACCCTGATTCAGAGGGAGAGGGCCTAGTGGTCACCCCAGGACCAACTGCTGAACAACAGGCGTTTTCAGAGTAAAACCTCCAGTTGGAAACTTCCAGGTGTTCTAGAAAGATCAGGTGGGGGGAGGGGAGGCTGGCTTAGGTGGGACTTGGGGGTGGGTAGGACAATAGTTGAGGACAGAGAGGGTAGAGGGGCTGAGAGGCAGGGGGGAGATTTAGGGGAGGAAGAATGAAGAGTTGGGGTTGGTGAGAGCCCCAGGAAGGCTGTGGTCAGAAGGGAAGGCTGGGAGGAACCAGGACCATGAAAATGGGGCAGGCTGCTGCCCACACCTCCCTCTACCCTACTACTTTCTGGGTATAACTGTCCCTAAAGCCAATCTCTGCTGTCTCTCTTCTCTGCTCCCTCATCGCTCGGCTCATATACATCCGGGCAGAAGAACAGACCTCACTATGTTTTCATCCATTTATCTGCCTGTCACCTCTAGGGGTTTTTTTTTCTTGGTATTACTCCCCACAGTACCTACAGGCTTTATTATAAACCCAGCTCAATGACTTTGGGAGAGTTCCTTATACCAGCTGGGCCTCTTTCCGTTTGTTCATGTTCAAGATGAACAGGAGTCCCCAGAACCCAGCCACCTGGGTTGTTTGAGAACATGTGACAGTGTAGTTACCTGTGGGTGGGATGGGTACTTGAGAAATTTTGCCACCCTGACATTTTTATGGGTGTCGATTAACAGAAAGGAAGAAAGACTGAGGACAAAAATGGGGAGTCAGGAATGGGAAAAGCTATGAGAGAGAGGAGCTGTGGTGCCCTGCCTGGGTCGCAGGGGTGTGGGAGCTGCCAGCCTGAGAGTCAGCCTAAAAAGACAATCAAGTGTTGCATCCGGAGGCTGCAGAGGAACTTCCTCTAGAGGGAGCTGATTGGAGCCGGCGTAGCCTGCACCTCTATGATCTGCAGCTCTGAGCGGGTCCTTTGGGCCGCGTAAGGCAGCATCCAGACACCAGGAATGCCCTGACTCTGGTTCCTGAAAGCCGGGCGTAGGCAGACACCTTGTTCCAGAGAGCAGCCGCCGGCCCTTGGGACCCTGGGCTTCAACCCTGCTGAGCCATCTCCAGTCTCTGCCAAGATCCGAACAGGTAAGCTGGCAGGGTGCTGCCCATCCAACGCCCTCAATGTAGCCACAGCTCCAGGGTGGGGCAGGGAGCTTCGTAGAGCCCGATGGGGAAGGGGAGGCCTTCAAGGTTTGCCTGGACGGCTCCACCCTGCCCTGCTGGAGTTCTATCTGTGCTGGGGGATTCCTGCCCATACCCCTCAGATGCCTTCCTGTCTTGCCATGATCCTGGGTATTAGTGAACCGGGTGCCAGAGTACTGGGTCTCTTAGCTGTTTGGAGAAGGGGGGGGCGGTGGAGGTCAGAGTCAAGGTCAAGAGTGGGAAGAACTTTCCTCTGGGGCGCTTCCTGTTGCCTGGGATCCCTAGGTTAGGTCCAGGGCCTTGGTCAGGCATCTCCCCAAGAGGAACATGCTGCTAGGGTTGCTGGTCCAGCAAGTCCAGAAGGTGGGGAGGAGTGAGCTCTCCTTAGCAGGAAGCTGGGCCACTTGGAATGGGGGGCAGAGATAGGCCTACATTGGTATAGGCTGCCGGCCATGGGGCCACTGTGAGGCCCTACCGGCTTCCAGCAGTGACCCCCTGGGCTCATGAGAAAGGGGGTTAGAGGCATAGTGAGCATCCTCTGGTCCCACCAGCTAGGGTGCTGAGTTTCAAGAGAGGGAAGAGTTTCAGCGATAGTCTCAGGGAGGGAGGGCATCTTATCTGGGAAGGAGCTGCCAGGATGCGGGTGTGCCAGGCAAAGGTCTGGTGAAGGAGGCCTGGTGCCCCAGAGCAGAAGCGCAGAGCAGGGGAGGAAGGGGCGAGAGGGTGTGTGTGAATCTGCCTTCCAAGTGTCCCTTTGAAGGTGGGAGGGTGGGAGCTGAGAGCGCAGGTGGTCACCCTCCCCCACCCCTTCTTAGAGGGCGCCTGGGAACTTTCAAAGATGGCCTCAAGCCAGAGGAGGGAGGCTAGGGTGTGGAACCCCATCTTGGGGAGGGGGTCTCTGTGCTTGGTGCAGCCTGGGGTGGCTGGAGGAGGCTAGGAGGAGGGGTCTTCCTCACCAGGTGATGGAGGGATCTTCAGGGGAAATAGGGCTCTGGGAGGGGGTAGAAATTGAAAGTGAAAGCTCAGTCCAGGAAATGCTCCTCCTGAGGGTTCACAGAGCAGGTTGTTGGTACAGGACTTATGGCCGCGGACTGGGTAAAGAGGGAAGCTGGGGCCAGAGATGGGAATGTGGTGTGGGTGGTCGGTGGGAGGTTGCGTGGGGATCTGTGAGGAAAAACCTACTTCCTCTGCTCAAAAGGCAGGAGTCAGGAGGCCACAGGCCAGAGGCAAAGTGGAACAGACACCCTCTGAAGTCCACAAACTGGAACATATATTTTAAATGTGTGTTGCACTCTGGTGGCCTAGTGTCAAGAAGCTGCGCTGCAGTCCTGAAGTCACTTGGTTCGGGGCCACCAGCTGCTCCGCTGGAGAGAGATGGGCAATCTCTTCCCATGCGATTAACTGCCTCTGAAAATCTGCCAGAGGGTCAGCTATGGGTGGGTGCACACAACAACAACAACAACAAATGTGTGTAGAGTCTATGGATTCAGAGACCCAACCTGAGTTTCCCTGATTAGTTCAAGACCCTCACTTTCCCTGTATGTCTGTCCAGTGGGTAGGAGGATGCTACCTCATTGAGTCTTGCAAGGCCCAATACCCAGCCAGTGCTCTTTAAGTGGTAGGAGTGTATCATGCAGGTTCAGGAAATGTTTATGGCTAGCAAACCTGAGTTGGATAACAGGTGTGTTCTGGCCAGCCAAGGGGCAGTGGGGCCTTCGAGAAGAACTTCATGGGTCATTGGCTAAAGGTGGCAAGCTTGTGGTGTGTGCAGGATAGAATGCAGGAGGCCCCAGAGCAGCCAGAAGAACCCGTAGCCTCTGAAACTAGTCACACTTGAGGTGAAGTTGGGGGCTTGGACTCCACAGAGTGCTGCAGCAGCCACACCCACCCTGAAGGCCCAGGGACTGGCTGAGGGCACTGGAGTGCAGAGACCTGGGTGTGAATCTCAGTGGCTGGGTGTGTCTCTGGCTGCCTCACCTCTCTTATCCTACCTTTTCTGTTTCCAGTAAATTGCGCTAAGGTGGTGGAATAAGACATGGCTGGTGTGAGGACTTGGGATGGAGGAGGTTGTTTCTGGAATAGGGGAGCCCTTTTCGCTGGCAATCTCTTCGATCAGGGGTTCTGGCTAATCCCATCTCTACTTTTTCTCACCCATCCCCACAGGCTGACACTCTACTAGGACCTGAAATATGGCGTCTGGACAAGGTCCTGGCCCTCCCTGGCAGGGCTGCGAGGACCCTCCTCCACCCTCCACATCAGGTAATCACCTTCTGGCCCCCACCCTCACTTCCCTTCACTCCTGGGACCATCTTTGTGGGTAGAGAAAGTAGAAATGGACAGGACTGTGACTTGTAGGCAGGCTCTCTTGCCTCAGTTTCCCCACCTTAGAGAAAAAGTATCTCCTGCTCAATATAGGTGGTCTGTTGGGCTCAGAAGTTGGAACTACAGTAAAAGTTAAGCCTTGGGAGGGAAGGAGCCTCAGGAGAGCAGGATCTGGAAGTTGGGAGAGGCCTGGGAGTGAGTGGGAAAGTGATCACAGGCAGGTACCATCCCAGGGCAAATGGGTCGAGTCAGGGGTTGAGGGAGGAAGGTAGAACGGGCATGGCTGTTATGTCTTTGCTGTTGGGGAAATAAGGAAGTAATTGGCTTATCACAGTCAGGCTAAAACAGAAAACAATTGTTGTGACTTTGGGGGAGGAAGTAAGATGGCTGCTCTTCCTCCCTCTTCCTAGGGGTGTTGAGGGAAGTGTGGGGCTCAGGACCTGCCATATACGTCCAAGGCTCCTCCCTGCGCTTTGAGTTCAGCTCCAGCTCTGTCTCTAATTCCCAGTGTGACATTTCTAGACCCAAAGCCACTGGTGTGGGTGCCTTATACTGAAGTGCTTGAGAACCCAAGTGTCTGGGAATATTTTTTCCTGTTTCCACTGTTTCGTCTAGCTATGTAATCTCACAGTTTACATGCCTTCAGTTTCCCACTTATAAAACAGGGCTGTTGTGAGCATGGAATAAAATGTACCTAGACAGTATCAGGCACAGAGTATATTTACTGAGGATTTGCTAGGTGTGAATTATGAGATTAGAATAGGGCCATTTCTGTTCTTTGGGGAGGACTGCTGGGCTTGAACCCCCCACAAGGGCCAGCTCGCCCTCCCTGACTGTGGCCTTTGACCTTCAGAGGAGCAGGTAGCCCAAGACACAGTGGAGGTTTTCCAAAGCTACGTCTATTACCGCCACCAGCAGGAGCAGGAGGCTGAAGGGGCGGCCACCCCCGCTGACCCAGAGATGGTCTCCTTGCCCCATGAGCCCAGCAGGTGAGCAGTGGCCTCAGGTCCACACGGACATCTGGGAGGAGGGGCCCATCCTGGGTTGCTGTGTAAATCCCAGGCCTGGGAGGTCTAGAGGGTCTTGTCCTTTATTGTAATTCCTCTTTGATTTAGGTTCCATGCCCCTCTAGGACCTGGCACCTCCTTATTTTAGCCTGCATCTAACCATTGCCCCTGAGGCCAGCCTTCATATATCAAAAACCCTGTCAGGAACCTCCATAGAGGTGCACAGGATCAGGGGGCTCAGCCAGAGCCCCTTTGCTCTGAGCCCTGCACTGTGTGCCGACTTGCCTGCTCACCCACCTGCCTTCTGTACCTACAGTGTCATGGGGCAGGTGGGCCGGCAGCTCGCCATCATTGGGGACGACATCAACCAGCGCTACGACGCAGAGTTCCAGAACATGTTGCAGCACTTGCAGCCGACACCACAGAATGCTTACCAATTGTTCATCAAGATTGCCTCGAGGTAGCCCGGCTGCGGCCACCCCACATCCATTTCAGCCCCTGCCTCCCTGCTGTCCTGGTGTCACTCATCCTCCTACCCACGTGTTCCTGTCTGGAGACTTGTTTCCTGTCTTGGCTGTACTGTTACGTCACTGTGTGGCCTGAGGCACCTGTCTTTCTCTCTCTGGGCCTCAGACTCTTCATCTGTTGAGCTCTGACACTGAGGATTTGAATGGTTAGATTCTAGAGGGACTCTGGGTTGGGATGCCCCCCAGTTCTTCAGCCCAGCTATGAGACAGTGTCCCTCCAATTTGGAACCAAGTTTCACACAGAAGATGGTAAGGCATCAAAGCTCTAGGAATGGCTTCTGTTTGCTATAACCTGGCATCCAAGAGGCAATCTGCTATAACGGTTAGAGTGTCCACACTTTGCCTCGTACTAGGTGAAAGGGAGCTCTGGTGGCCTAGTCCATAGGCAGTTGTGCTGGTGAAACCTTCAGACTATCAGTCTTCTCACCTGTAAAATGGGGAAAATATATATACAGCATTGTCCACACTTAGATGTGTTAGCTGTTGTTACCATATGAGCTAGGGAAGTTAAAATCAGGGTAGGTTTGAAGCTGGGAGGGGGAACCTTGGAATCAGGGACAGATTTTAGAGTTAGTGCTAATGCCTTGCCCCTGTCCTTGGAGGTCAGCCCCCTTCCCCACATTGTGATTCCAAACCAGTCCTAACCTCGTCTTCTGTCCTTTCTCTTTGCTGTCCCTTGGGCTGTCAGGCCATCAGCAACACCCACAGGTAATTTCCCTGCTATCTCTATCCATTCACTCGTCCTTCTCTGTACCACTTCGCACCTACAGAATAGGCACCATTGCCCTGGCAGAAGCATTCAGCTCAGCTTCCCTGAGCTTTCTCTTTTCACAGAGAAAAAGGCTCCTCTGGCGCAGCCTCTGTGGCTTTAATTCACAGCTATGCCACTGTGCTTTCCAACTGGGAGAGGGAAGGAGGGGGCGGGGGTGAGTGAAGGATGGCAGCCTGTGTCTTCCTGAGGGTCCTCAACAGAATATGTGATGCTCTGCCTGCAGCCTGTTTGAGAGCGGCATCAACTGGGGCCGTGTGGTGGCTCTCCTGGGCTTTGGCTATCGTCTGGCCCTGCATGTCTATCAGCACGGCCTGACCGGCTTCCTGGGCCAGGTGACCCGCTTTGTCGCTGACTTCATGCTAAATCACTACATTGCCCGGTGGATCGCTCAGAGAGGCGGCTGGGTGAGTGCCAGACGGCTGGTTCTGTCAGATTACTGTCCTTCCCACACCCACCTTGGCCCCACCTTGGGAGGATGGGGAGGAAGGGTTCTGCCAACCCATGTGTGACTGCCCTGTCTCTTCCAACAGGCGGCAGCCCTGAACTTGGGCAACGGCCCCATCCTGAATGTGGTGATAGTTCTGGCTGTGGTTCTGTTGGGCCAGTTTGTGGTACGGAAATTCTGGGGTCCCAGTTGAGACTCCTGCCTGGACTTCAAGCCTTCTCCCCTCCCCTTTCTTTCCCTTCCCTGCAAGGGTCAATCCTCAAGAGGACAGAAGCTTTAGCAAGTGGACACGTCAGTTTGGACCACAGTTTACTTCAACTGTGGTCAGTCAGGTTGCAGGGAGGCCTCAACATTGCATGGTGCTAATGAGCTCCTTTTCTGGGCCCCATCTTGTCTAAAGGGGGCTGCAGCCTCCTCTCTCAGCTCTTTGGGATCCCCTCAGCTGTGTCTGCTGGGCACCGGGAAGAATGATCCCCTGGAGAGACAGCCTGGGAGCCACTTCTCCTCACTAGGAAGTTTTTAATGGTTTTAGCTTTTTAGAAAACCCTTGGGAAATGCCCCCGACCCCACCCCATTCTACCACTCTATCCCAGGCCAGAGGATCTTGTCAGTGGGGATCGACAGGCCTGCCCTGCGTTCCCCAGGATTCGGCTTGTTCTGGAAGGTCAGAGCTTGAGAACTGGGACTAGAGCTCAGCCCTGGCCCACCGTGTACATCACAGACTGGAGCCTGTGGTCCAGCTTGGCTCTCCAAGCCCCCACCCCACACTGCCTTTTTGGCTACACTCAGGGATTCCGGGCCTGGGGTCGGGTGAGGAAATGGTGCAGACAACAGCTGTCTTATTTATCAAAACTCCAACCCTACCTTCTGATTTTTATTTTTCTTCCCTTCCCCTCACCTTAATTAACCCCTGCTCCTTAGCCATTCACTCCTGTGCCCCTCTCATGCCTTCATGTGAAGAAGGCAGGGGCCTTGGGCAAGTGGGGTGCTCCAGTCTCCTGGCCCAACTGCAAGGGTTCAGGATTATAGTTTTTTATTATCAGGATAAAGGGAGGGAGCTCATCTTGAGGTTTCTAAGTGGGATAATGGTTAGTAACACCACTAAGATCCCCAGAATTTACCCCCTTCTCCCTCAGGGCCTGGGCACAGTGTAATTGGGATGGGCATGGGGGAATTGTGAATACTTGAATTCTATCCTCTTACCCACTCCTTATTCCCTCCCCCCCCCCCCAGCTTTTCACCTGCCTTGACCCTTCCTGGGCATGTGTATGGGATGTCTTATCTATCTTGACACCCTAGGGGTTGGGAGTAAGTTCTTGATTAAGCCAAATGCATGGGGGGGCAGATGAACCCTCACCCTTTGAGTGTGTTTGAAAATAAACTGTGCAATCCCCTTACTGGTCTTCATTGTATCTTCTGGAGTAGGGGAGCCTAAGCATGCCTGACATTCACCTAGTTTGTTACTGAATCATCTCAGACTGGCCTCGAGAATCTCCCACAGGGCTGAGATTTGGGAGTGAGTTGTTTCCATGCCCCAGCCTTTAGGAAAAGGTCTTCCTACCCCTTCAACCTTCTCTCTAGTACTTTCCCCTAACACTCCCATCTCCTTGGGTTCCAGTTTCCCAACTTCTTGGGAAATAGGAGATCCCAGGCCTTGGGCCCTGGTAGCAGAGCTGGGAAGTAGCTAGCTGCACGTGCCTGGAGACCTCACTGGCAACTTCAGGCCTGGCCTGAATTCCTTTTCCTCCATGGATTCACCACCCACAAGGGTCTGAAAAGCCCTTCTCCCCCACACCTAACTCTACCTGGGGCACAATGTCCCAGCTCCCCCTTCCTGATGTCTCTCCACAGCCAGCATACACACAGGGCTTTTCATTTTAGGGGTTTTATGCTGCATGGGAGTCCCTGTGGGGACGCAGCCAGGGGTGATAAAAATAACAAGCATGGGGGCGTTTAAATGTTCCAAAATGTACAAAGCCCTTCCAGTTCCAGGCATCCTGGTCTGTGTTGCTCTCTTCCAAAATAGTCACGTGAACGTTCAAAAGGACTCACGAGCTTATTAGATGCTCCCTGAGGGCTGCCTTGCCAAACAAACCTCTTGCTCTTCCACCATGGTCTTCAAAGAGTTCACACAGGGATGCAACCAGCAGGACAAAACCACTCTTGGACAAGACCTAACTGCAGGAAGCGCTAGCTGGAAATGTGCACTAGGAAATCTTTTCCAGGGATAGCATTCGTATTTTATTGAAGAGATATCCCATAATTAGTGGATAAGCATTTATCATTGATGTCTACTCTGTAGGTGTAATAGCAGGTAATAGAGAACTGAACTTGCCACAACCATATGAAGCTTTTAAGTGTTAAGTCTATGGGGAGAAGGAGAGGGACGACTGGTCTGGCGACCACAGAGATGGGCGCAGTGCTGAGATGCTAAGTCTCTTCTCTCCGCCCTCGCGTGAAAGCGCAGCTCTAAAACGCTATGCAGGTAAAGAGAGCGGGAAGTGTGTGGGCGCCCGCGTCTAAGATGGCGGTGGCAGCCTCAGGCACGCACGCGAGCCCTTTCGTGGGCGGAGTCTCGGTGCACGCCATTCCCACCCTCCACGTGAACTGAGATTTGAGAACAGCACCAGAAATCCAGCTAAGGGCACATAATAGCTGGAAGAAAGGTGGGAGGGTGGAGGCAGGAGCTATGTTTTTTTCTCTATCCCTCTAAGAAAGGAGCTGGCATGCTATCCTGAAAGGCAGGAGGAACCCCAAGGGTTTTGGCCTGTGTCCACCCTGGCTCTCTCCACTCCACCAGCTATTCTGCCAGAATAAATGCTTCTAAAACCTAAATCTGAGGATGATTCAGTTGCAGAAAACCGGGGGTGAGAAGTTAGGAGAGACAAAAAAAGGCAGGGGCTGTGAGGATAAAGTTGAGCTGACAGGTTCTGCAGTTTCTAAGGAAATGAAAAAAAGATTCTTTAGAAATCTGTGGTCCTTCTGAAATTGTTTCATTTCCACCAGTAGATCTGGATTGCTCATTGGTGTCACCGATTTCAGGCAGTTCAGCCACAGGAAATTAGTAACATTCAAACGTTACATTACCTGTATTATGTTGCAGTTTCAGCAGGAATGAATACCTTGTGCAAATTGGCCCCAGATTCTCCCCAACCTCCTTCCCCCAATTTTACATCCACCCATCTATTCGTTCCATGTAGTTATTGGCTGTTTTTGTGTTTTGTTTTGTTTTTGTTTTTTGTTATTGGCTGTTTTGCCTCGTCTGAAGAAATAATATTTTAGAACACTAGGATGACCATCCAAACCTTTTAAATTGAGAAGAAAATCCTTTTGTCTAAGCCACCTAAAAACTTGTTTGAACAAGTTTTTATGATCTACCCATCTGAATAGCATTGAAATAAATGAAAATTAATTGATTAGTTAATTAAGATAAATGAAACTTCCATAACCAGCTTTAGTTTTATATATCTGCAATGTATAGTCTCCTGATCCAAGACTCTTGTAAAATATGACTTTAGTTCAATCTAAGCATAGCAGATATTATGCTGTAGTGGCTAAAGAGCCCAAAGCTTTGCCTCATACTGGGTGAAAGGGAGCTCTGTTGGCCTAGTACTTAGGGAGTTGCACTGCTAACCCAAAAGCCTCACTTCTCTGGAAGTTCAAATCCACCAGCTGTTCAAAAGGAGCAAGATGGGCAATCTCCTGTGTGATTTTACAGCCTTGGAAACCTGCTGGAGGGTCAGCTGTGAGGTGGTCCCAACTGAATGGTAATGAGTTTGAGTTTTTGGTTTGATGAAACTTTCCAGTCTTTGCACCTAATTAGGGAAAAATTATTTACAGAACTGTCCACACTTAGGATGTGTCAGTTGTTGTCACCATATGAGTTAGAGAAGTTAGTATCAAGGAAGGTTTGAAACTCAAGGTGAAACTAGGAGTAAGTGATAGATTTAGAGTTAGTGCTAATGCTCTGCTCCTATTTCTCAGAGCACAGATATCCAGTGTTGAACAGAGTTGGTGAAGACTGCTGGCGATGTTCAAAGGTCAAGGATCAGAAAGTACAGCACAAACTAGCTTCTCCTAGTGTATGTTTATCAATTGTCAGACATGTTAAAGATAAATGCCAGGGATATAGAAGAAAGACCAGGTAGGAGAAGAGACTTAGCTAATGGTAAATAACATACAAGAAAATAATTAAAAACATTGCCAGTGTGCTGATTTTGACCTAGCTCTGAACTCAGGCCTATCCTCCGACATACCTACCCTCATTACTTCAATTACTGTGTCAATTCATCTCATCCGGGTCTTCCTTTCCTGCACTGTCCTTCCATCCTTCCAAGCATGACATCCTTGTTGACGGACCGGTCCCTCCTGGACACATCTCCAAAGTATGTGGGATAAAGCTTCAAAATCCTTGCCTACAAGGAGCAGCCTGATTTCACCCTCTCCAGGATGTTCTCTTGGCAGTCTATGGTATGTTTGACACTGTTCTGCAGCACCATAACTCAAAGTCATCAGTTCTTCTTCAATCATTCTTAGTCATTGTCCAGCTCTCTGATGTAACTGTGAACACCATGGCCTGAATTAGGTGCACCTTAGTCTCCAGCCTGATATCATTGCTCTTTAGCACTTTGGAGAGAGGTCTGTGACAGCAGATTTCTCCAATGCAATTTGTCTTTTGATTTCCTGACTGCTGGTGCCAAGAGTAGTGATAGCAAACCCAAGTGAGCTGAAATTTTTAACAACCTCAATCTCTTCTCCATTAATAGTGCTGCCATGTGGTGCCAGTGGAGAATATTTGTCTTTTTTATATTGAGCTTCACTCTATGCAATCCATCCATACATCCATTCAGTCCTTGACCTTCTCCGGCAAACGCTTCAGGTTCTCTTTAATTTCAGCAAGCAAGGTTGTGTCATTTGCATAATTCAGGTTGTTGATGAGTCTTCCTCCAATCCTGATGCCACATTCCTCCTCATAAAGATAATAATTGTGGTAATTTGGCCTACTGAGCACTGTGATTAGAAGCAGATTACCAGCAAATTATACCCATGATCTGGTACAAGAGCAGCTCACAAGAACCAGAGTGGACAAGGGACAAACACAAGAAAAATACAGCTGAAACCACAGACTCAGCCCTCTCCAGGGGTATGGGGTTTTGCAATAGATGTGGTTGGGCATTTCATTTGGACAACACC